TGGTGTAGGCGCGGCACACTCCCCTGCGTGTGTGTGTACATGGGCTCCTGCGCACAGCGCCGGTTGTGTAGGCGCGGCACACTCCCCTGCGTGTGTGTACATGGGTGCGCACAGCGCGCGGTGGTGTAGGCGGGCACACTCCCCCTGCGTGTGTGTAACATGGGCTCCTGCGCCAGCGGCCGGTTGGTGTAGGCGCCAACTCCCCCTGCGTGTGTGTATAACATGGGCTCCTGCGCACAGCGCGCGGTTGGTGTAGGCGCGGCACACTCCCCCTGCGTGTGTGTGTAACATGGGCTCCTGCGCACAGCGCGCGGTTGGTGTAGGCGCGGCACACTCCCCCTGCGTGTGTGTGTAACATGGGCTCCTGCGCACAGCGCGCGGTTGGTGTAGGCGCGGCACACTCCCCCTGCGCGTGTGTAACATGGGCTCCTGCACACAGCGCGCGGTTGGTGTAGGCGCGGCACACTCCCCCTGCGCGTGTGTAACATGGGCTCCTGCGCACAGCGCGCGGTTGGTGTAGGCGCGGCACACTCCCCCTGCGCGTGTGTAACATGGGCTCCTGCGCACAGCGCGCGGTTGGTGTAGGCGCGGCACACTCCCCCTGAGTGTGTGTGTGTAACTTGGGCTCCTGCGCACAGCGTAGAATCGGGAGCCTCAAGTTTCTGGAAGATGCCATCTTTAGGCCCTCATCATCATTTGGTTGTGAAGCACGGGTGTCGCAAGCATTTCCCTCAGCTATTAGTCGTTTCCTTCCTCGCCATAAACAGAAGGTGGGGCCCCGGGCCGCGCCGACTGACCGAGGCGACGCTTGGTCACCCTGTGCTAGGTGTGCCCACCCAGTCTGGGGGTGCCTGGCGAATCCGGGCCTTTGTGGGCGGAGACGAGGCGGGGCAGAGGCTGCGGGTGCGGGTGGGCTCCGCGCGGCTGTGGTCCCGCCGAGCCGGGAGGGGTGGAAGGCCCCGGGCTGTGCCGGCTGGAGGAGAACAGGGTGAGGGCCAGCAAGGCAGTGAGAATTCTTTGGTTTCAGTGACAGAACCCAAAGGGCTTAGCTCACATACTCAACTGCGCAAAGGCAGAGACAACGTTTCTGTTTTCTCCTCTCCACACCTGCTAATTTCACTCTCTCAAACCAGCTATTTTAAGAAGCTAGGATGTGGCTCCTGGCACCTCTGGAACCACATCTCATCATATTGAGACTAGAGAGGAAAACCAACCCCCAGCTCCCACTCAGAACATCCCGGAGAAAGCTGTGCTTGGCCCCAGCGGGGCCGCACCGTCGCTTAGGGTCCCATGATCCACAGTCCTCATCGGAAGTGCAGTTTGGGCTGGGGAGGAGACATTCCCCAAAAGGACATGGCAGGAAGTTGTGCCAGGCAGACAGAACTCATCAGCATCTCCCTGGGACACCAAGAGTCAAGGTGAGGGAGGGAGGCGCTGGGAGGAGCTGGAGAGCTGGAGGGAAGGGCAGGGAAGAGCAGTCCTGTGAGGCCCCGGGGCTGGCTGGGAAGCCACGAAAGGCAAGACAGTGCCCAATCAGCGAGGCCACGGTGCAAACACGAGGAGGAGGAGGGTAGTGGCTGGAGGGGTCATGAAGCTGAGAACATTCATTTTGAGACAGACATCTGAGCTTGTCCCTGTGTAGGGAGCAAAGGGCCAAAAAGTGAGAGAGAAGGAAAGCATGCAGGGAGGGGAACTGTATTAGTTATCAGTCACTGCATAACGAATCACCCCAAACTTGAGCAGCTTAAAATAACAAGCATTGGCCGGGCGTGGTGGCTCACGCCTGTAATCCTAACACTCTGGGAGGCCGAGGCGGGCGGATCACTCAAGGTCAAGAATTCAAAACCAGCATGAGCAAGAGTGAGACTCCGTCACTACTAAAAATAGAAAGCACTTAATTGGCCACCTAAAAATATATATAGAAAAAATTAGCTGGGCATGGTGGCGCATGTCTGTAGTCCCAGCTACTCTGGAGGCTGAGGCAGGAGGATCGCTTGAGCCCAGGAGTCTGAGGTTGCTGTGAGCTAGGTTGATGCCACAGTACTCGCTCTAGCCTGGGCAACAAAGTGAGACTCTGTCTCAAAAAAAAAAGAAAAAGAAATCCAAGAGTGGCTTATCTGGGTGGTTCTGGCCCAGGGACCCTAATAGGGTTTGTAGTGGTGTTCTCGGGCTACCGTAACAAAATACCGCAGAGTTGGGACTTAAACAACAGAAATTTAAATTCACACAGTTCTGGAGGCTGGGAGTCCAAGTTCAAGGTGGGTTCTTCCAAGGCATCTCTCCTCAGCTCACAGGTGTAGGTATGGCCGCCCATCCTCTTGTCTCTTCACGTGCTCTCTCTGTGCATGTCAGTGTCCTAACCTCCTGTCCTTATAAGGACACCAGTCAGATTGGATTAGGGCCCATCCTAATGGCCTTTCAAAAATGTAATCGCCTCTTTAAAAACCTTACCTCCCAATATGGTCACATTTTGAGGTACTAGGGGTTAGGACTTCAACAAATGAATGTGGGGAGACACAGTTCAGCCCGTGACAAAGCTGCAGGCAGGATGATGGCTGGAGCTGTGCTCATCTGAAGCCTGGGCTGGGGCTGGAGGGTTCCTTCCAAGGTCACAGGGCTGTTGACTGGAGCCCTCAGCTCTCACCACACGGGCCTCTCTCAGGGCTGCTTGAGTACCCTCACGACATGGCAGCCAGTTCCACAGCCCGAGCAATCTTAGAGAGAGAGTGAGGAGGACACCACAAAGTCTCTGTGAGCTAGTCTCAAAAGCTATAGCCCATCACTTCTGCCTGATTCTATGTGATAGAAGCACATCACTTCTGGTGGCAGAGTGAGTCTCCATCTTGTGAGGGAAGCATGTCCCAGAATTTGTGGACATATTTTAAATGACCACAGTAACCAATAGAGCAAGGCCCTGACAGAGGAGGCCAAAGAAGGCAGGGATGGAAAGATTGGCCTGGGCCATCGGGAGTCCCTCCCACTGGGCAGTCACCTAAGTGTGCAGAGGTACAGGAGAAAGCAGGGAGTGGCGGGGTTGGAAGCTGAGGGCGATTTCTCTCTTTTTTCAGTGAAACAGGTAAAAGTGCCCCCAAGAGTGAGTGGCAAGAGGGAGCTTTGAAATAGGGTTTTTGGCAGAAAAGGCTGACCAGAGCCCAAAGAAGGATCCCTGGGCACTTCCAAAGTCCTTGGGGAGGTCCAGGCCATGAGACCACCCTGCCCTCATCCCTAAGGCAGGCGGAGCATCCCCGGCTGTGCTCAGCTCCAGGGTCGGGACTTTGCAAGGTCAGGGCAGGAGCAGTTACACGACAGTGATGGACCAGAGGGGTCCTGGCAATGTGTGCTGCTTGTGTTCTCTTTTTCTTTTGTCTTTTTATTATTTTTTTAATTGACATGTAATAATTGTAAATGTTTATGGGGTATGGTGTGATATTTCAATATGTCTTTTATTTTTGTATTCCAATTAGAAGTATTTATATGACCACCTTTGTTTCCCAAAAGAGTTAAGGCTAGTTGGCAACAGGAGTGAAGCAAGGCTGCGGGTTGGTAGGTTTGGCAGAAACAGAAGGACCAAGGGGTCACGATGAAATGAGAGACCAGCTGCTCACTGGGTAAGCTGGCATGGAGACAGCAAGGGGCGGGAAGGGGCAGGGGAGGACAGGGAGGTAGAGTAGCTCTAGGCCACCAAAGACATGGGCCACCCACAATATGTGACAGGCCATTCCCGGGGAGAGCTAGACTGAGGTGGGAGCTCCTGTGAGGCAGAGCCTGGCGTCTGGAGAGGGATGGCGTGATGTACCCAGACGCCATGAGGGTGCTGGGGACCAGGCTGGGCCTCAGGTCTCGTCTCAGGGTGGAGAATCGGGACGTGGCCAGAGGCGGGGCAATGCCCCTCTGTGTCTTTTCCTGCCCCCCACCTCTTGGGTTAAGCGAGGTGGGAAGAGGGACAAGCCTTGAAAGAGCCATCCAGGAGCCACGATTTGGTGAAGGTCTGCTCTGCATTTTTATGCAGACTCTTCAACTTTCCCAAAGCAAAAGGTGTGGGGCAAAGAGGATGGATTTGGGGGCTGGGAGAAGACTCCCCTTCTTCACTTACCAGTCAAATAGCTCTGACAAAGCCTCTGCATTTCTCAGCCTCCATCTTCTCACCTGTAAAATGGCATGGCAGCAGCGTTTGTTCTAGAGCTGCCTCTGGCACGTGTAGCCTCACTCACTCATCAAAGCCACTTCATTTACCCTTTCACTGGGCAAATAGTGACTGAGTCCCCTCTGGGGGCAGGCCAGTGCTAGATACAGGGACAGGGCGGTGAGTGCAGCAGACCCGGCGCTCACCTTGTGCTGCTCAGAGCAAGAAGGGGAATGACACCTGTGTCTCAGGATGACAGCCGGGGTTTCCTCCTTTAGATCAGGCAAGGGGGGCCCTGCGCTCCCTCGTCCGCCTGCTGGCTGCCAGTGGGGCCTGCCTGTGAGCTCCCGAAGCACCCCAGCAGCCAGGTGCTGGGGACACGTTTGAAAGAAGGCGGAGCTGGGTTCGACTCCCAGGTGTGCTAATTAACTGGGTCACCTTCCCTTTGTTGAGCCCCCTCCCGCCCCGTAAAAGGAGGGGAACATGCTCGTCCTGTGCTGCCATGCGGTTTAGGTGAAGCACCTGATGTGTCTGTAGCTCTGTGGCTGCTTACCTGAGCAATTCTCAGTATGCACGCTGATGGCTGGTCTTCACAGATGTCTGACCAAATAAAATTTGGTCAGCCTCTAGGGGACAGTGACCCACTCCATATCCTATATCAAGCCCAGGGCTGTTGCCAGATGGACCTTCAGTGAAGGTGAGATAAGACAAGAGAAGTGAGAAAGCACCTTCTTGCACACAGGATGGGACTGTGACTCACTAGTCCATTGTGATTCAGAGTCATTCTTGAGCCAGGTCCCATGCCAGGCACCTAGGGACACGTGGGGCTCCGAGTGAGGGGTGCGTGAGTAGCTGACACTCTGCTTTCTCTCTACAGACGGGCTGTGTGGAGCCGCTGACCCGAGATGTCGGTGTTCCGGCTGGTAAGGACTGCACGTATCTGCTCTGGGGTTGTTCATGGAAGTTACTCAAGGCTGAGCTAAATTACTCCCAATGAAAGAAGAAGAAAGGCAATGAGAGTCTAGGAGGAAAATACCAGAGCCAAGGGAGTTTGAGGAACAAGGCAGATTCTACTACCTAAAGAAAGACCTGGCCAAGCTCTGGCCCTCTGCAGGGTGGCCATGCCGATGTGCATTGTTATCCCTAGCTTATGTTCAGGCCTTAAAATGTCTTGATAAAGGGATTTCTTGCTTGCCATCCCATTGCATAAGTGGCAGGGAGCTCCCCGAGAGAAAACAGGTAACCGGGCACCTATGGGACACAGCGGGATCAAACCCCGGCTGAATCGCCACCTTGGGCTCTGTGTTGTGGTCCCTTCACTCAACAAGGGCCCCTGTGTCCTGTGTAGGGAGGAACCAGAAGAGTTTGGCCTCTCCTGTTGAATCCAGATACTGAAAACCTGCCTGCCCTGGGAGGCAGGGACAGGAGGCTGGGGGAGCCCAGAGGAGAGCTCCCAAGCCGGCCTGCGCACCCTTCCCTGCCCTCCAGGTTAGCCCCCACCCGCTCCGTGCCCCGCAAGCCCAGGAGAGCCCGGCAGGGCTGCACAGTCCTCTGTGATAAGAAAACACCCAGATCTCCTCTCCTCAAGCTCAAAGCCACATGGTGGTCATTGCCCCTGCTGCTGGGTCCAGGCTGCTGAGAGGGACACCTCCACCAACAAGGGCTGCCTGGGTTCTGGGACGGGGTCCTGGCATCACCTGACTCAGAGAACAGGCAGCCAGGGTTGGTTTTGTCTCAATTAGAGAATAGAGTGGAGGCTGAAGAAAGGGTACACATGGTCTGAACATTCACCTCGTGAGGGCTTTTGGCAGCGAAACCACAAACACGAGAGCTTAGCGCCACTGTGGAGAATGCCGCGGTTTTAAGGCAAAGCCAGCCTTCTTTCACAAAGGAGTGTGCCCGTGGGACACTTTAGCTCGCACCTCCTGGGGCCATATCACTCACAGCTACAGCTGTGGGCCTGCTGTATTGTCTAGGGTTCAAGTTCTCTGGGCGGAGAGTGGTGATCTGATTCATCAACGAACCCTTCAGAGGGCCCGAGTGGTTGCTGAATAAAGGGCAGCGCCAGACCAGGTGGCACTGCTGGCCCGGCCACCGTGCCGGCTCTGGGCCGGCACTCCCTGTCCTGACGCGTGTTCCTGTCCTCAGGCGTGTTACAGCCCTGCCAAATCGTCCCTTTCAACACACAAGGAAATTGAAGCTCAGAGCGGTTAGGTGACTTTCTCGAGGCCACATAACTCATGGAATACAGAGTGCGGGTGGGAACTTGGGTCTGTCTGACCTCAGCGGGCTCTCTGTGGGTCTGCTCCCGCTGCTGGGACAAGCACCCACGCTGGGCAGCTCACGCTGTCCTCACGGTTCTGGAGGCTGGGAGGCCGAGAGCCAGGCGTGGGAGAGGCGGGGCGGGGGGAGCGCTCTCTTCCTTTTCTTATAGAAACACCTCCGTGGGTTACAGCCACACCCTCATGACTTCATTTTAATTGCCTCGCGAAGGCCTGTCTCCAAACACAGCCACAGGAGGGTTCGGGCTTCCGTATAGGCATTGTGCAGTCACAGTTCAGTAGACAATGGGCTTTAAATTTTACTTTAATGTCTAATTTTAAGAAAATTCAAACACGTTGAATACATCATGGAGAGAATATTCTTTAAAAGCAATTAGTGGTGGAACTCAGGCTAGTAGACTCTTCTAGTATAATGAAAAAAATAGGACTTCAGTTGGAGGAATTCGATCTTCAAGCTTAAGAATCGTGTCCCCTCGCACCCCCACCCGCGAGTGAGGAAGGTCTCTGCAGCAGCTACCTGTGCCTTTCGCTCTCATAGTGCATGTCCATGTGTATTTATATATAGTGTGTGTTTAAACGTGGTAAAATATACATAACGTAAAGTTTACCATCTTAACCATTTTTTAGTATACAGTTTAGTCGTGCAAATACATTCACATTGTTAATGCAACTAATCTTCAAAACTCTTTTCATCATGCAAAATTGAAACTCTGTACTCATTGAACAACTCCATTCCCTTCTTCCCCAGTCCCTGGCAGCCACCATTCCACTTTCTGTCTGTGATTTGACTACTGTAGGTACCTGGAGTCATGCAGTGTTTGCCCTTTTGTTCTTTTGTGATTGGCTTATTCCACTTAGTGTAATGTCCTCGAAACTCATCCTTATTGTAGCATGACAGAATTTGCTTTCTTTTTAAGTGAGTAATATTACACTGTATGTATATACCACATTTTGCTTATCCTTTCAGCCATCGATAGGTATTTGCGTTGCTTCCGCTTCTTGGCTATTGTGAATAGCACTTCTGTGAACATGGGTGTGCAGCTATCTCTTTGAGATTGCTTTCAATTCTTTCAGAAGTGAAATCGATCGATCATATGGTAATTCTATTTTTGATTTTTTAGTTACTACCATACCCTTTTTCATAGTGGCTGCAGTATCTTCCATTCCCACAAGGGTTCCTATTTCCCTACATCCTCACTTGTTATTTTGTGTTTCTTTGATACTTGTCATCCTAATAGGTAGGAAATGGTATCCCATTGTGGTTTTGATTCGTATTTCCCTAATGATTAATGATGCTGAGCATGTTTCTTATGGGCTTGTCCATTTGTACATATTCTTTGGGAAAATATCTGTTCAAGTCCTTTGCCCATTTTTATTTTTATTTTTATTTTTTTTGAGACAGAGTTTCACTTTCTGCCCAGGCTAGAGTCAGTGCCATGGTGTCAGCCTAACTCACAGCAACCTCAATCTCCTGAGCTCAAGCGATCCTACTGCCTCAGCCTCCCGAGTAGCTGGGACTACAGACATGCGCCACCATGCCCAGCTAATTTTTTCTATATATATTTTTAGGTGGCCAATTAATTTCTTTCCATTTTTTTTAGTAGAGACGGGGATCTCACTCAAGCTGGTTTCGAACTCCTGACCTCGAGCGATCCGTCTGCCTCGGCCTCCCAGAGTGCTAGGATTACAGGCGTGAGCCACCGCGGCCGGCCAATAGTTTTAGCTTTTACATTGAGATCTTTGATCCATTTCGAGTTAATTTTTGTATAGGTAAGGTAAGGATCCAACTGCACTCTTTTGCGTGTGGACATCCAGTTTCCCCAACACCATTTGTTGAAGAGACTGCCCTTTCCCCATTGAATGGTCTTGCACTATTGCTGAAAATCGTTTGACCATATATGTTCAAGGACGTATTTCTGGCCAGGCGCAGTGGCTCATGTCTGTAATCTCAGCTGCTCAGGAGGCTGAGGCGGGAGGATTGCTTGAGGCCAGGGGTTTAAGACCAGCTGGGGCAATGTTGTGAAACCCTCACATTGGGACTAGCTCGATCCTGCAGTAGCATCAAGTTCATGCTGAAATCATTCATGTTAATAAAAGGGTCTGGCTGGGGATTCTCTGGGGGCTGTTCTGTTCACCAGGGTCTCTGAAAGCTGAAATGGAAGCCCTGTCACAAATCCCCTGCGTGTGCCTCTTTTCAAGCCTGCTTGGTGTGTCTCTCTTTGCAAATGCAGTGCTTCAGTGTCGTGCTCCTTTCTCAATGCATGAGGCTGGCTCACTGACTGGGGGAGGCGCAGCCTCAGCTTGCTGCATGCCCTTGGCCAAGCCCCTTCCATTCTCTGGACCTCAGTTTTATCAGCTGTCGGTTGGACATGGGACGTCTAAGACATCTCAAGACATCAGCAGTGCCTTTTAGAACTGGGTGACTCTGCCTTGATTAATCCTTACCATGGGAAAGGGGGTACAGCTACTGAGGGGCACAGGTCACAGCTGAAGCAGCCACTGGGTGCCCCGGTCAGCTGGTATGACTCCTCCAGTCTCTCTGGCCTTCAAGACTTCCTCCCCTTCCACTTCCACCTCTTGGAGCCACACCCACCTTGCTTCAGATCATAACACTACCAGTCAGATCTTGGTGATACAATAGGAGTAATAGTACTGTTGTGAAGATCACATCAGGTAATTGGAAACCACATGTCATTCCAAACCTTGATAACAGCTTTAGGACTGCTAGGTGCTCTGAGCATGTGCCAGGGGGAAGAGTGGTCCCCAGAGGAAATAGCAGGCGCCTAGGCCAGAGGTGAGCCAGCCCATGGTGCATTGGGAAAGTGCTGGGAGCAGGTGGCCCCTGCCAGGCTGAATCTGCTGTCCCTGACGGTGGTCACCAGCGCAGGTGGCACTGAGCCCTGGGAATGTGTCTGGTCCACAGTGAGATGTGCTTTCAGTTCTAAGCACACGCTGGATCTAAGGGCTAGTACAAAATAAGATTGAGAAAAATTGCATTAATAATTCTCATATCAATTGTAAGATTAATAAAATGATAGTATTTTGGATATGTTAGGTTAAATAACAACATTCATAAAACTAATTTCACCTGTTTCTCTTTACTTTTTAAACGTGGCTGCTAGAAATGTTTAAGTCATATGTGTAGCTCATAGTGCATTTCTGCTGGGCAGCACTGGCCTCTACCGTGCCAGGGCCTCAGACACTGGGCAGTTTATATAGCCTCCTTCTGGGGCGAGTGGGCTGGGCCTGGGTCACCTGCACCACCCTTGGGTGGGAGCAGTGCTCCCCAAGGACCACAGCGACTTAGAGCTGGGGAGGGGTGAGTCCCCAAACAAAAATTGAAGACTTACAGAAGCTGAACAGACCCCTCGTCGCCAAGGCATTGTTTCAATGAGTGGCTTTGCCCGATTTTGGCTTTGAGGAGTGCTCTCAGGCACATGCTTGTGTGCACATACACACACGCACACAGGCTCGCTGGCACGCATGTGCAGTAGGTGACCTGAGGATGAACATACACCTTTCTCTCACCACGATCACCAGCCCCTTCCCTCCCCCAGTGGCTGAGTGAAGAAACCCCGAGCGGTGCTGCCACACAAGCTGACCTCCCGAGGCCCGGGTAGGACATGATGTTAGCCACTTTA